TCCCCTGTGTCTGCCTCGTTCTGGGTCTCATATCATCTGGGTTCCCCGCGCACTCCTAACACCGGCTCGTTTTGTGTGGAGGATGTGTGAGGAGAAGCTGCTGTGAGATCGTCCGAAATGACAGACAGGCTGAAATCAGACACTTTAATTCCTGAATGATGTTTACGTTTTATTTCAAAACTCGAACCATCATTGTGCACACACACATCCTCCGCAAGGAGTCATTTTTTGAATCTTCTCCATTGTGAGCCCTGCGGTTGGTTGTTCTAGGGGGGCACCTGTTGGTGGTCTCTGGGGAAACGCTGTACCGCTGGACGCCGGGATGAGGAGGGCTGTTCTCTGACGGGAGAGGCCGGCGGCAGAGCGAGAAGACGCTGCTGCAGCTGTGGCATGTCTTTGCTGCCGTCTTTGGTCACGTCGCTCTCTCCAGTGGGCGGGGGGCGAGAAGAAGGGTGTGGCTTGACCAGATGGCGCACAGTCTCCGACACCTCCTCCGACTTCTCAAGCATGGCCTTGAAGTTGGCTCTGAACAGCGTGTCTGTCATGATGGGGCCCTCCAACAAATCCTTCTACAGCTTTTCCGGCAGGGAGGGGAAGTGACGAAGCCAGGTGGATCGCTGAAGCATTGTCATCCAGGCTGCGATGCGAGACAGGCAAACAGCAGAAGAGGCGCACAGGTTCAGGATGATGTCAGACGCCTTGCAGAGGGAGCTCTTTGTCTCCTCAGGCAGGTCTGTTTGTTCCAACCTCTTTTAAATGCTGTACGCCAGCAGCGCAACATTATTGTTCGCTGCGGCCGCCTGGAACGCACACTGGTGAGCTCGGTTGGAGAGCGACATCACCGTATGGTCATGCTTCCACAGAGGTGTAGGACGCTGGTCCAACCTGGACATCTTTGCTCCGAGAGCCTCCACCAGGCTTGGCTCCAGGGGGGGCACCGAGGGAAAACTCCACTCAGTAAACCCCTCCACTCTGGTGATGGGCGCGAATGTGGAAACCGGCGCTCTAAGTCTACCAGGTCCGGCTGCAGCCTCGTTCCAGTAGGACGTCACTGCTGGGAAACGAGGCCAGATGGGGTCAGGGCAGCGAGCCGGGGTGGAGCCACACCTTCCCGCTAGATCATCCGATCTGGGCGGGGGGAGGAGAGGGACGGAAAGTCCCTTCATGTCAGCCGCCTCCTGAATTATGCCGGGCAGCTCCGAGAGGAGGGCACCGACGGCTGGGAGGGCTGTGGTCACTGATGCGGAAAGGCCCAGGGGAGGGGGGGGGCATCTGCTCGGGCCCCCCTCGTCCCGACACCATGCTCCCCAGGAGGGAGTGAGCAACGGGGCTGCTGCTGACATTGCCTGTCCTGGAGGAACCATCTGATTCGCTCAGAAAGCCGGCGTTGAAAAAATCAATGGCGTCGTCCAGCGAACAGGCCCCTGCCACGGAGAGGCACTCCTCGACATTAGCCTTAAACAAGGCTGCTCGCCTCTGCCTCTCCTCCGGGGGGAGGAGGTCACAGAGGTGGCAGGAGGAGGTAAGGTCAGCATGGCGGGGACCCAGGCATCCTTCGCATTTGTTGTGCCGGTCAAAACTCAGCATGTAGCCGGTTTTGCAGGACGGACACAGGCGGATGACATTGGTGCAGGACATCGTCTAGTTGAAGCTCAATGCTACACGCTTGCTGAAGAAAAATGTGAGCTGATTACCTGCTCTTAATGTAATTTATACAGACTGGGTGGGGCCCACACAACAGGTGGGCGCGGACTAATTTTTTCAGTGCGATGCTTTGCATGACGGGATAAACCCACCAGCGACAGCCTTAAAAGGAGAAGCCTATACGAAACAGAACAAAACAGTGCCATTTGTGCTTGATTTCCTCCCGAGGCCCTGGGGATGAGGCTGAATGTCACCTCCAACAATTATAATGTTTACCTTCCTCGGTGAAAACATCTGCACACAATGGAGACAAACGCTTTATTTTAAAACTCCCATCATACTCCCACTTTCACTGGGTGCACCGAGGAGTTCACAACTGCAGCACTGAGGCAGATTTGTGCACAAGGGGTGTTGAGGTGCAGAGATGAGACGACTGGGCGACCAACACTCCAAAATACAGATAGGATTTTTGATTCCTGTGGTTAGACAGAGCTCAGAAATGAATGTCCCAGTAGGCTCATCTTGTTTTTAGGCATAAATAAGTGAGATCAAGAATCGGTTGTTCTTGAGGTTTAGCTACTCCAAAACACAGCAACAAAAACACAGATAGTTAAGACTTCCTTCTATTCAGCTGGTGCATCATCAGGTGTCACAAAAAAAAAATCACAGAAACATGCTCCTAGGGCAGCATGAAGTTAGAAAAGCTTGTGTGATATAATAGTTTAACATTGTGAT